ATTCTTTTCACGATAACGCGTTTAAAACATCAAATAAACTTCAGGTAATCTAACAAGAAATGCATAGTCAAAACGACGCTAACATGACGGTGTTGAGTAAATGACGTCACAGCGTAAAACTGCTGTACATAATGACTCGTTGGCCGTGACACAAAGAAATTAATGGCGGACGAAAATAAATCGTAAAATTTTGGCCCTTCCCTTTCGAATATTAGAAAAATATTTCAGTGAGAGGTTCTTAATGTGTTCAAGATTATTTCAGCAAAGTTCCAGCTCGAATGAAAGAGTTTTAATTTTGGAACGATTTTCGTCCAAGTGGCCCTTTAAATAGCGATGGACAAAAAATGTGAATAAAATGCGAAAAAATACAATCACTAACCTTGTGCCATTGCTGTGGTGTATGCTTTCGATCGGCTTTATTTTATTTTACTTTCCTCCTGAAACAATCGTTTAGTAATACAATTTAGTCTACGAAGGTCATGTTCCAGTTGGCTTCTTTTTACGCTTGAGTGTCACTAGTCACAAGCTACTCGAGCAATCCTACCAACCAAACATTGAACAGGCTGTTCACTAAGGTTGGCTTCTTGGCTGCTGTCGAGTGTGGGTAACAGGAAAATGAATTATTTGTGGGAAAGGAAAGAGAACTTGCAAACAGCTGAGGGGATGTGGTTCACAGAAAGAAAGAAAGTAACGGCGTGTCTGGTGGTCAGCGGCTTATTTTGCAAATGTCTCAGGGGAGGGGTGGATAGGGATGGCAAGATTCCATGTCTTGACCGGCTTATAAACTATTCCATATCGCCACACATAATAGAATCAAACATATAATTACTATTCTTCTAAATATGGCAATTGAGATGCATTTTTACTCAAATGTAAGAAACAATTTCTTCTATAGTCCCATCCATTATACTCACAGGTAGCCCATGCACGGCCAATTTGCCAAGCCCGCTGATTTCACAAGAAGTTTTTGAGGAAGCATTCATTCCTTTGAATGCTATCGATACCTACTCACAGATCGAATATGAATTTGGTGTTTTCGGTTTTGCGGAGGGAGGGAAAGACTTAACAAACTTTACTCATATACCGGATGCGCGTGTCCAAGTATCGAATTCTGCCTCAAGACCCCGGCCAGAGATAAGACTGTGAGTGTGCACCGCTCTACGCTCAAACTTAATTTCCTAAATTATTAGCTATTAGGGATCATTGCCCTGCGAGTAGACGTTATTTTCCTTCCTCGTGGGGTTCATAGGGGTAGAAATCTCACGGATCCTACCTATTGCCCTTTCAGTCCGTTTTCAGTGGCAGAAATCGACTGATTCTATGACCGAAAAAGAGCTAGACCACTACTCAGTCAAGAGTGCTCCGTGTCCTTGTCTCAAATACTACTTGTCATACATACCTTATAATTTCACGTTCTTGCTCCCTACTGATCCAGAAGATTTCTCCTGCTTGATCACTCTTGAATTCCCATTTATAACGATCCATTCAGGTGGGAGTTACGTGAAAGCCAATTTTTTTCAGTGTTTGTCGTGTGAAAAGTTCCCCACCTACTTCGCTTGCAGGAATAAAAAACCTAGCTGACATTAACACTGAACGGGTCACTGTGAAACAGGAACCCGATTATCTTGTCAATAAGATGGTACACAGCCCAGCTTCAACAGAACTGAAACAATAAAATAGAACTTTTTAAAGTTCAAGCAAAATCAGACTTTAGGCATTTTAAAAATTTATTCATTTCTATAAATTCGAAATAAAGCGCGGGCTTTGAAATGGTATATTTATGTGCTGATCGCAAGGGGTTGATTTAAACATGGGTAAGTAAACTGTAGCTACATATCGACCTCATTGCTATCAATAAATGTTTGTGTTAATTTTTGATGGATGAACACCCTCTGAAGGCTAAGGAAGCCATCTTTTCTTTGTATCCATCAGTTTTTTTGTGTGGGCAGGGCAAAAAGGCAGGGGTAGTGCGCTACTCAGTTAATTAAAAGCTGCTAAGACTTCCTCAGCCCCATCTGAGGGAAGTCATCCTAAACTGTTATTACCTCTGATTTATTGGAAAGCCCGATAACTAGCTGAAATGGAAACTGCGGTTTGGTAGGCGTTTAAATTCAGGCCAAAGTGCTCGGTTATTGCTCTTGAAGCAAATTACTTATGATAATAGACTACGTCGGTACCAGAGACAGGGTTTTTAACGTTTTCTCATATCAGCCTGAACATGTACATATGCCAGTCAATTCAATTACGTCCAGTCTGATGTAGCCTGCGTTCAGCCGGTATAATTTTTCGAGAGAAATTATACGGGCTGAACGCAGGCTAGTCTGCTGTGGATCGGCACAAAAAACTGAGATGAATTGATTGTTTGCCAACCTGCCTAAACCGTTTATTACACAGGCGATTTTTTTGGCGATTTGCAGCGCGATTTCCACTGCGATTCTTGCAGTGATTCGCATGCGACCATAAATCGCTCGTTCATAAACTACCGGCTATTTTGGAGCGATTTGATAAATTCACGTCGCCGATGAATCGCCGCTATTTTGAACATGTTTGAATTTAGTGCGATTTTTTCTGCAAGAATCGCAGTGGAAATCGCACTGCAAATCGCCGAAAAAAATCGCTTGTGTAAACGGGCCCATTAACAGTCGATCCAATAAATTTTTTCACTGGTTAAGATTTATTCTTTAGATAGCGCTATCCACCCTTCGTACCGGGCTCTGATATACGGTTGTATATCTGAAAATGAAGATCCAAATTAGTCAAATGTAACAACGCGCGAGGCGGCGTATACATCAAGTATGCATCTGACTTCATCTTCAACACAAGGTCACATAGATCGGATTTCGTATGACTGTGAAACGGCACGGCATGTCATGTCAGGATCTTGCCCTTGTACAACATCTTTACTAAGTCATTACAAAGCACAAGATCATTATTTCATCCAATCAAGATGCTCGGACAAGAGCTGACGATCACGGCACGGCGCGTCAGAGAAGTGGGAATAGGAGAAAAAGATTTTGTGCTGTGGACTATCTACTCGAGTGCAACATGAACAGATAGCTTATTAAGGCAGCTTATAAACGCGCCTATAAACTGTTATAATGTTAAAGCATTGATAATATTATAAAGATGAAGTATCAAATAACATTATCGTCAATTATTTTCGTCAAAAATAGCCTTAACTATACAGTAATTTGGATTATTTGATCCCCGAGTCAGTAAATCAAATTTTTTGAAATTTCCTTTTGTTATCAGTATTTACATTTTCTCTCCTTTCTTTTCCTTTCTCTTTTTTCTTTTCTTTTTTCTTTTCCTTTTTGCCTTCTTTACTTCTTTTAAGTTTTTTCTTTGCGTTTTTGCGACCAACAGATCAACTGGAGTGGTTTTATATCGATAGTAACTAGAGAGCAGTAACAAAGTCTGGGGATCGTTGCACGCACGGCTGAGCAAAAATACAACCAGAATTGCGCGGGAGGCACAATCTAAGTGTGATTTGTTAAGTGGTAATAAGTACTAAAAAAATCTCAACATAACTGTTTTTAGAGTACTCGCTCAGTCTGTCTGTCTTGGATATAAATGACAGCCCCTAACTGATTTATGCACGGTCCTTAGGCTGGGTCAAATCAAAGAAAGAACGCCATCAACTATTGGCTGTTCGCAGTCATGTGATGCAAACGAGCAAGCGATTTTTGGATTGGCCGTTGCGTTTTATTATTACAGGACGGCATTAAATACAAATTATTATTTCTTTGCTGATGTTCAGCATTGCATAAAGGAAGCCTGTCATAGGTGACAAAGGGGACAAACACAGTTGTTATAAATGGCCACCCGACGTGGTTTATAGCCAGTCAGTAATTCCAAGCAACAATTGGACGCGCGGCCATTTCGTTTCCTGTCTTGATTTCTTCCAGCGAAAAAGTAAAAATCTACACGACAACCTTGCGAGTCCATTAAATCTTCTACGGGTTCTCTCGCCTTCAAAGGAAACAGCCATCGTTTTATTACAACGACACCTTGGTTTGTGATATTGAACAACAGCATTTTATTTGTTTACATTAGGTATACATGCGCGATCGAGTCAACCCAGCAGAAGATTGGGGAAATCCACACATATGACTATGTGCAATGTGTAGGGCCAGGGGAGTTCACATCGTATGTGTAGTAAGCATGGAAAAGCCATGACTTTAACATTTCAGCAAGTTGAACAGTGGCTTGACGAACACTACGATCTTGCCGAAGATTACTTTGTGAGAAAAGCAACCGCTCGGATGGTAAAGCTATGGCAAGAGGCGACACGAGTCAAATGTGAACGGGAAAAATCAAATCCTGGCATTGAGGAATCGACTATTTCATCGGGTATTGGCGATAAGGAAAGTGCTTTGAAGGCTAAACAATGTCATTTTAATAATTCTGTGGAGATTTTTAATTCTAACGAGTGCGAAGATGAATGTGGAGAGGCTAGACCTCATCGCCGTTTATCTGAGCCTCATCGTCAACCGACAACTCAACGCCAATTCTCCGCTGATGAACGAAAAAGACAGCTTTTATACAGTAAAACTATTCCTTCGACTTTTTTTCAGTCGCTAGACTTGAATTTGAGTACACTGAGTGAATTAAGAGAGGATAAAATAAAGCGTGTAAAAAGCCCCCCGCGACAACTACGCAAAACTAAGTCGCTGCCTAATTGTGGACAGCAACATCTACTAGGGTCACTGATCGAGTCAAAAATACGGCTTCCGTCTTCTAAGAGCTTAAACAAGGAGTCCAAACTTGACCTGAAGAACAATAATGAACGAGAATTTTTCTTCGAAATCGTACGGGACATTGCTAACGATCTAGACCTCAAAACCTTGAGCTATAAAATTTTAGTCAATGTTGGGATTCTAACCAATGCCGATAGGTGTTCGCTGTTCATAGTAGAGGGACCTAAAGGAAAACAGTGGCTTGTCTCCAAAGTCTTTGATGTTCACATTGGTTCATCCACTAATTCTCCAGCTCATAAAGAAGCTATCGACCATCAACGAGAAATCAGGGTGCCATTTGGAGTTGGTTTGGTTGGGTATGCTGCAGCTACGGGTGAGACGGTGAACATCCCCGACGCATATGCGGTTTGTAACTTTTTTTTTGTAATATAAATAAAAGCATTAGGGTTTCTGGCAGGTCAACCATATTCGCTCCCCAAAATTGCTGATGATTATATGTCCAATGAACGCAATGATATGTTTAAGTTAAGAATCAGCTTCTAGGGTACGTCTTTATAGGGATTGGTAATCGCTAAGGTGTATCACATTAACGCATTTCTGTGATTTTGTGGCAAAACCGCCTAGTCTTAGCACAATCGAACGTAAACTTTGCATGTTCGATCGAGGGTGCTACCGGTACTGGAAAACTAGTATTGTTTCTGCTCATTTGCTTGTTACTGTCCGATAGTTCCTCATGTCGTAATCTCTCGAAAACATAGGAATAACATACGAAGCGTTTTGAGATGAATCCAACCAGGGGAAATTTCTAAGTGGGACAGCGTTTTCCACTCTCGATATCTAGAGCGTTTTTTTTTGTCTCACCTCGCATCAAAATTTGACAGAGATCACTTCTTGTTTTGTACATACGTAAAAGAAATAAATTTTAAACAACAAAACAACCACCTTTAATTATACTCGAATCATTTCTAGCCGCTTCTCGGAATATTAATGCCTTGTTAGCTTGTGTGATACGCTTTATATTTACATACTGAGAAAATTATCGAAGCTTTATTTCAGTGTAGGATTTAAATTTTGTTTTTCAACATAGCTTTTTTTAAATATCACATTTAAGTTAGCTATATGGTATGGCTTTGAGGTTTCATGGCTACGAGGGTCAATATGGTTTGACATCTTATAAGTCTGTTTGATGGAAAAGCTAAGAAAGAAATGCTGGAAAATAAACAACTACGTTGACGAAATTAGTTGTGGTCAAATAAAACAATTAAATTCTCCAAACCTAAGTTGCAAGATTTTTGACTATGCTTCGCATCAAAACACGTGGAAATATTCGAGTCCATTTTTCTTCTTTCTACGAATAGAGCAAGCAAAATGTTCTCTCAAACGAATATTTGTTTTATTCCAAACATTTTTAGGGGTGAGTGAGCAGAGTTACGCCGCTAGACCTCGGTAATAATATTTTTGCGTGCATGACTGGAATCCTGACAGAAAAACATGTATTTTATTTTATCTAGCTAAATCAGGCGTTACAGATTCAATTTAAAATCGCTTTTCTCCTGCATTAAATGTTTCTGTTGCTCAAGCAGAAACTTGTAATTCTTTGTTGGTGAATTATTGATAATACCGCGAAGATTTACATATTGCGATATAAGTTCTTATTGCACTGCTAACTGATCTAGTACTGATTCCAATTTTGATCATATCTCGTCATTTTTTTAACCATTTAATTTTGTACTTTCTTTGTTATTAGTAAGAAAAAATCTCGATCCAAAGTTTATGTTCACGCTTACTTGATCATTTTAGTGCGAACTCTAACTTTGTTCGAAACGCTGCAGTCGTTTATTATAAGTTATTCAGATGAGGACGCCTTTTTGCACTTCTTCGATAGAAAAAGTGCACCTAAAAAGGAGGCAGTTATATGCTTAAAGGGCTTTACAGAGAGCTGTTTTTATCGACCGCGGCTTTGTCACGCTCAAAATAACGTATATAAACGAGAACAAATCGTTCAATTTACGTTTTTCTCTCTAAAGAAAGAATACTAAGCTCGAAGGACCCGTGAAATTATTCCAAATACGTAGTTATTAAAACGAGAATGGATTCTTTTTTGGCTGTAACTTTGTGTGTATGAAATACTCGGAAACATTACGAAAACGGCCATTGTAAATAAAGCCTTGTTAGGCTTGGCATTTGCTAGGCTCGTTGAGTCTTGGTCTATTTAAGAAGGTTTATGGAGGAATCACTTTTTAAGGTTACACGAGTTTTTTCATTATGATATGTTTAGTCATTCTTTACGAGAGAAAAGAATTTTGCTTTGCATTTTCAGAGGGGAAACTTTATTTCGAAGAAAAAATATGAGGCAATGCTATTTTTTGATAACTAGATTTACTGTGGCTACATATTTTAAATTTATTACTTAAGCCCCCATTTTAATAAAGACAGGCAGTCAAGCTGTAAACAAAAAGATTTTGAAGTTACAATTTATGAATCCCGGTGCCTAGTTTTTTAGCAATGGTCTTGATTGTTTACATTCTGAAGGGTTTTCGTTTTTTCATTCGTTGTTGTTTTAACTATACTTAAAAATTTCTTAGTGCTATCTGAACTCCGAATGAAAATTTGATGCCTTTTCATGCAGTCTGTTTTAGATTCCCATGTTAAAGATTTATTAAGTTGCTGACTCATAATTTATGTAGCTTATATATCACGTAATTTTGCCTTTGCTTTGTGCATGAGTTCTCTACTGAGAAGAATACATACTCTGACGCATACTGTAATTTTACATAGTCACTCGAGTATGAATTGTGAAGACTGTTTTAAGTATCATCTTGATTAGCATTCAAAGATTTCTCAATAACTGCTTTTCATAGAGCTGTGGAAATAGTAAAACTGTTATGCTCACAAATCAGTGAGAGCTTCGCTCACCATTCCATTCTCCATAGAAATGACCTGAGCTAGAAAATGTTGTTAAAATGTTTAATGTTTGCCTTGTATAGATATTCTGTTTAACTAATCTACAAGATACGTGACTCAAAATTGATGAACAGAAGATAAAGCCTTACTAATTATGTATATATATAAACTATACTAACTTTTTAAAAACTTGATTTCTAACAGACATTGTGATGATCAAAACATTGTCACCTACACGTAATTCTAATTATTCATTCATTTGCCTTAGCTGACAGACTGACAGTCTAGTACCAGCTTCTAGTCATGATGAAGTTCAATATTTTATGCTTGACTTTTCCTATATGACTATTTATCAGAACAAAAGTCAATTACTGCCAAAATTTATTTGTTTATTTTAAATGTTGTACAGGATAAACAGATAATTGTAAGATCAGTACCTTTTTCATGAAAAAAGTGTGCACAGATTGGATGATTGGCTATGCATAGCTTTGGTCCAATCATTAAGTGTTGTTGTCTGATAGCATAGTTTATTTGAGTTTTAGCTCTTGTAAAATCTTGTTGAACTATTTTTTAATGTTTGTGGCATGTCGTACAACTAAAAATAGGCAAAAATAACAACATTCAACAGCTCAACATGTAGTGTATGGCAATTGCTTGATAGAACATTGATTTCTAGATTTTTTATAAAAATTTTCGTATATTCGTATTTTTACCATATATACACTAGTTGTATCACTAGATCCTTTCAATCAACGTACTTCCCATGTACATGTACCATTTAGTTCTCAGCTAAATTCTATTTTCTTTGTTTTGAACCCCACAATGATTTTGAAATTGAGTGTGTTCAAATTAAAAAATTGCATTAAATCAATACTTTAATAGTAATTTAATAACTGTACATATGCGTACATATAGTTGTAGTGATAATATTAGATAACAGATATTGAATGATATCTGTCACAAGCTGTATTTAGCAAATAGACATCAGTTTTTTGTCTGTCCTCTTATTGATGATAAATTGTGTCATCACATTGTCAAAGTAGTGTGGATTCACGAGGCGTAGCCGAGTGGATCCGCATACTACTTTGACAATGTGATGGTGAAATTTATCGTCAACAAGAGGACAGACACATAAAAAACCGATGTCTATTTGTTTTTTACAATAACAAAAACGATAAAAACTTCTCATTTTTAGCGATCAAAACAACCAACGGAAAGAGCGCGCGCTTGTTGACGTCAGCTTTATCTGTCTGTCCTCTTATTGATGATAAAAAATAACCAATCAGCGCACGAGAAATTTGTAAGTTATTGTAAAAATTGTGATATAAACATTCTGGGATCTATAAAGCATGGAAAAAGCAATCTTAGTGAACACAAGGCTTAGCTGAGTCTTACTCTTGCTTTACAGCTCCTTAATGTTTACATCACAGTACAAAGACATAAGTAGCTATTTTATGTTAATATTTTTGAACAATTTTATGCAAGTGTGTCTCTGTCCTCTGTCCTGATAACCTCGTTGTTGTTTTAAAAGTTTAATTAATGCTGTTCTACAGTTAGGAATGATTATTGGCTTTCATTAAAAATGCAACTAATATGCATATATTTTTTTATGATCATCACTTGATCTCGAGATTATGAAAGGGACAACTCTTCGGTGAGGTTAGCTTCATGCAAACTACCACTACATTAACTAACAACACACGGCACTCTACTCTACACTATATGTTTATTTTTTTTGTTTTAAAATTATGCATCAGTCAGTATAACTAGCAGCCTTCTGTACTGTTTTGATTGAATTTCAAATTACCAGTAGTCAGGATGTTGTGGTGGTAAAACATTAGCCTCTCACCTCTGAGGTCACTAGTTCAAACCCCAGTTGCCCCATTCGAGCTGAATTATTTGATTTTCTTTCTGACTCAATACTAGCTAACCAACATAGGAGGGATGTAAAAGAACCACTGAGGACGTAAAGAAACCATGGCAGTGACCACCCTCAGTGCCTACACTTCATACTAACCATCTCTCGTGCTTGTAAATTGCACAAAAAGCAGTCTGTCATTAACAACTCAATGTAAAGCGCCTTTGATTATATTCATATAGAAAAGGTGCTATATAAATTCATAAATCATTATGATTATAAATCATTTTTCTAGCTCTTCAGTTAAATTTCTTCACTCGTCTCAAGCCAACATTATTTAACATTAAGATTTTTGTACGACATGAAGATATTGATTTAATCCAGAATCACAAGAATAGGTCAAATAGAACATTTTAAAACTCAAACTTTACACTGAATGCCATAATTTCTTTGTAGAAATGACTGATGTCGTAGAAGTATTTGGGACTCTGACAACAGTTTTAATCATTTTCTTGCATAAACGTTAGACAACTTACTTGCTCTAACTCTTGCATGATTCTCTTTTATTTCTTGATTTTGTGCTCTCTCCAATCTTGCTGCAGACTCACCAGCTCTCCAGTGACACCACTATAGGGAGAGGGGGGGGGGGGGGGCTTTGGTTACTCCCATAATTTACATGTAGCCTACTCTTAAATAGCTGGATAGAGTATGGTTTTAGATGTATGATTTACTTGAAATAAGTCAAACAGGGTTATCAGTCTTATAGATAAGAACACTTTTGTTGTTATCAAATCTTACATATTTGTGTTATAATTTATATAACAATGTCTTAAACATGGTTAATAATTTCAGAAATTTATGTCTGGGCTACCACCTAAGGGTTTTGGGTCTTATTAGTTTATACCATTAAAAAACACACAGAGTTTCCTTCTATGGGTTTTGTGCTTAGTAGTTAATATAAGATAATACTTTTGAAGCTTCCACATGACAATGACATTTTGAAATAACCAATATTTTTGTGTTGAAAATGTGTGACATTGAAAACACTACTTGATGTTTCGGCTATGTAGGAGAAAGCTATTATAAGCATAGAAGAATATGTCAATAGATGTTTTCAATTACTCATGGTTTTTCAAAAATACTATTTCATTAGGTTATGAGATCACAAAATAATATGTTTTTCCAAGATTATCTCTCGATCAAGCCATATTGCAACTTGTCATTATATATATGCAGGGCTTTTTAACTTCAAAGACCAGACACTGTACTGTTCATTAGTCTGTTGTCAATGTGTAACTGAATATTTTGACTATATAAACAAGGTTTAAACAAGTTTATGAGTATGGTGCTGTTACAACATTGAATCCTTTTAAACACAATGGAAAACTCCCTTTTATATACAACAATAAAAAAGAAATTATAAATTTTACCTAAAATTTGATAGAGAATTATTTAATATATATATTATATTCGTCCTACCAGACCTCAGTAGACATTTCTAGAAACTCTTTCAAAAGAGAAATATCTTAGTTCTAAAGGTATTTATCCTGGAATCTGCTTACAACTGACAATAATAACTCTAAATCCTTGTAATTCGGACTTAATCTGAGAGCTTGTCAGTATTCATATAATTCAAATTTGGTTTCAGATTAAATTAATGCAAAGTTCAAATAAGATTTTTTTACCCCGCTTCAGCCTGCCATAAATCCACTATATTATTTTAAGCTGAAAAATGCTGTTGTTTTGTAAAGAGGTGACAAGATTAATTGCTTGTTTGCTCAATTCCGCAGGACCCTAGATTTAATCAAGAGGTAGACAAGCAAACTGGATACCATACTAAGAGCTTGCTTTGTAAACCAGTCAAGAACAATGAAGGAGAGGTAACAAGTTTAAATTATTCGATAACTGTATTAAAAAGATGTGTAAATTTTATGTACCGTATTATGTCATTATGACGTCATCGAAGGTATGATAGTTGTCATAGTGTAATGGGGAGTCTAAAATCAGCAGTAAAATTATTTGAACCTACTGTCCTAAAGCCTCTGAAAATATGCCATGGACTTTTATTTGCTCATAATGTACATTTTGGGTCACTGGGCTTTATGCTATGTTCATAAACATGCAAACTCTGTAGTTTCAATTTGCCCGTTCGAATTTGGTTTTTGTGCCATCAGTCAAAAATACAAAAGGTAGTGACTGATAATTTTTTGATGAAAGCGAAAAAAAATAAAGAAACGAATTTCACTGTGCAGCTCGCAGCTATGGAGCTTGTATGATTATGAAAATAGCAATAATATTGTTTTTGGAAAGGGGTTCTTGTCAGGGGGTTATTTTTGAAGAACAATGTTTGTTAAAAAACTGGAAAGCAAAAAAATGTTTATCATTAAAAATAATGATTTGAAGAAGCTGAAGAAAAACCCAAATGATTAATTATTTTTTTTAATTTTGAAAGTCCGGGTACCATTAATATATAATATGGTATTCCTTTACTCATAAAATCTCTATGTAACGACAGAGTTTCTAGATCATAGATCCATTAAAAATCTTGAAAGAGTTGCAATTCAAATCTCTATGTTAATAAATAATAAGAGCTAGAAAAAATAATTGATATTTCTTATTCGTTTTATAAACAATTTTCTGTTTTTAAGGTTGTTGGTGTTGCACAAATTATTAACAAGAATCCTGGCGGTGTTCCCTTTACCAAAGAGGATGAAAAGGTAAAGATTACAAACAGTATTACCATGGGCTGTGGAAAGGGCGGGGCAGGGGGGGGGCTATAGACCCCACGTTTTCCCTTTTCCCCTATTAGTCTCTTATATTTTTTAGTCTTAGCCCTCCCCCNCCCCCACCCTTTTTCCCATACTAGTCTCAATCTTAGCGGCCCCCACTGAATAACACATATGATAAGTTACAGGTATGTGTTAGACTTACATAGGTGGCGGAGGCCTACTCTTAAAAGATTTCCTATAAACTGTGACATTTGAAGTTCATGTAGTCTATCTGTAGGTCACCAGCTGGGCCACATGAGAGGGAGGGGATGGAGTGACTATAGTCCCTCTCCTCACTTTTTGCTAATATCCCCTAAATCTTCAGGACTCATGTTAAGCTCCCCCACCTTATATAGTAGTCTTGTGCCTACTAGTCTGCTATGTTTTCCAATATAATCACCCCTCCCCCCAAAAAAGACCCACCCTTTTTAGGGTGCTGTACAGTACATTGCCACAGGTGACAGCATGTGACATAAAAACCCTGTGCCAGGGGAGAGAACAACACATGGAACAAATTTAACTCACATGACTATGTGGTTCAATATTGAGAATAAGCCGCAACCCCAGGCTTGAACTAAACAATGGTAAAAAACAGTAGCGTAGCAGTGTATATACCAACATGTCACTAGGGCTTTCAGAATGTTTTGAGTAGGTGGTCATGTTTAAGGTAGCTGGCTGTGATCCCATGCAAGAAACTGAAAGTCCTTGTAGAAAAGAAAAAGTAGCCAGTGGTTAACTTTGAATCAACTGCTGGAGCTCTGTCGGCTGTCAGCTTATTCTGACAGCCCTGTACTACCATTTTTGCTTGTAAAATTGTTGAGATCTGTTGCAATTTGTCATCTTTTAAATACAATTACAGATAGTTCCTTGCAGATACTTCTATCTGTTCATTTCCATTGCAAGATTAACAATTGTTGAACTTGGTGTTTTGTGTGATTTGCAGGTGTGTGATATGTATCTGACATTCTGTGGAATAGGGATTACAAATGCCAAGCTTTTTGAGTTGTCTGCAATTGAGTTCAACAGGAATAGGGTAAGTATTGACAAACAAACCAAAAATGCTGTAACATCCTGATTATGATAAGATAGAGACCTGTATTCATTCATAATCATGATGGCCTTACAACTGTTTGAGGAAAGGAGGGGGGTTATTACTGTAAGGAAAAAGTTTTGGATGGGAGAATGAATGAATGAATGAATGAAAGAAACCTTTATTTAAAGATAAATAAACAGTCATCTCTTTCTTTTATTTTTCCAATCAATTGTAATGTACTGTCAATGACATCATAAATGCAAGATACCAGGGGTGGGCTTATATTCACATGGGCTTATATATACCCAGGTCAGACCTCTGTCTAGTGTTATTTGCCAGCAAAGGGCCCAAAATAGGCATCACCTAGGCAAATTCCTAGCCATTTATTTAAGTTTTTGTTGCAAAGATTATGAAATGATTTTAAATATTTGCAGTCACGCTGAGTGAGTTCATTTGCAAATGCACAAATTCTCACTGTCTGATTGGCTAACCATTAAAAAATTAAATTGGGTTGCATGGCCTTGGTTAGGTGAGTCGCACTGTAATAGGTTTTAGAGCTTCTTATTGGAAGAACTTTGTGAGAGAAGGGTGTATTTCTAGTGGCCATCAGTAAAGCATGACAAAATGCATGCATGGTGGATTTAAGCCTCTTGACAGTACTTGTAAAGCAGCATGTTCTTGATAAATGTTATATAATATGTTTCAATTATTAACAACCAATTATTAACAAAGGAGGGATAATATCAAAAATTATTCATCTTTCAAATAAAAAAAATAATTTTTATTATTGCGCTGAAGGCTGCCCATGTGGGACATGTTATTGACAGTGTTTTTAGTACAGATTATTCACTTTAAGGTCAAGCGCTTTAAAATGAAGTGAATAGCTTTACTTCCTTTATAATTGATGCAGTACTTGACACCCAGTTCTTTAGGAAAACATTGCTGTGATTTGATTAACGATATGATAAATGAGTGTGATAACCTATATAATACCTCATGTATCTATAAAATACTTGCTTCTGATTGGTTGGTTGGCTGTTTATTTTTTCCTTATCCATTTAATTAATTAATTGTACAGTGCGACCATGTGCAGTTATTAATTGCATACATCCTAAAACTTTTTTCCATAATGTTTTGTTTTTTGAAGTGCAAAAATGGAGCTGGGTTTTCCAGTTAAGTCGCTAATTCTTTTGATTTTTTTTACTTCAGAAAAAAGAATTTTATGTAGATGTACTATTAAGGAAATATCACCTTACTTCTTGATTTGAAGTAATAAAATACCACTGGCATTTGATGAAACGCACTTTCATCAAATGTGCTTGGTATTTTTCATTAATTCTAAATTATTCTCTGGGTGTCATTTTTATACAATTTGCACATGGTATTTTTCATTAATTCTAATTGAAATATTCTCTGGGTGTCATTTTTATACAATTTCTTTGTTTAAAGGGGACAGAATAAAGTCACCTGTTAATGCATTAAATGCATATTGCTTATTAATGCATAGAAACTATTTAAAAAATCCCTGCTCCTTTTCTAGGCATTGCTGGAGTTAGTGCATGACATTTTTGAAGAGCAAACCTCGCTTGAAAAAGTTGTACACAAGATAATGAGAAGAGCACTGGGGCTCCTGAAGTGTGAGAAATGTTCTGTGCTGCTGTTGTCCAATCCTGTATTAGGCAATAGTTCTGCTGAGCACCGTGCACAGGTAAGGGCCTGGATTTTATATGTGTTCTCAAAATAATAGAACTAGCAAAAGGAGTTCAGTTACTGCAATGTTGAGTTATTAAGTCTTGTCAGCACAATATATTTTCTGCCTTTGCTGTTCGTTATTTTTTCCCTTCGTTTTTAGTCTTTTGCTAATGTATTAAAAAATTAATAAATTTCATATCTCGGAGTCTATGGCACATTTAAGATGACAAGAAATGACAGCCAAACATTTGTTTCATGTTTCCGCTGTAAAAAGGCTATCTTTGTTATCCAACTGATAAATACAGTGTCATACAAGTTTGTTGTTGTGGCTCATGAAAATTTGATTGTAATTTCAATTTCATTAATGGAAGATTGAAACAACCAAAAATCCAATAATAAACTGGAAAATGCTGTCGGGGGGNGGAGGGGGGGGGGGAGGGGGGATGCTTCATGGCCTTTGACTGGCCTTTGACTGTAGTCATAAGTAGAAAAACAAATAACATGATAATTTATGTGTTATAGAAGTTGCCAGTGTTGCTTCACTAGTTCTCTGATGTATTTTCTTGATTGTACTTTGACAGGAGTTGAGGTTTTCTAGTGTTTTTAATCTCAAGACTACATCTAAAAACATCAGTAATACAACGTAAGTCTTTACATAGTTTGAACTATTAGTCTATAGTCTATAATACTTACCCAATCCTCTAGTTGTACTCTTGAAATCTGTTAAGAAGGAAAAAAGACCCCCCCCCCCCCATCCCTGCTCTATCCCTGGAGATAGTTCTTTCTCTGATCCCACCCTTCAGAAATTCCGAATACCAGTCAAGTGTAAAGAATCATTTGTTGTTTTGCATTGTTCCATTGTGAACAACATCTGAAGGTAGCTTTATCACGTCTAACCCCAACACATGACACACAGATGCTCTTTTGAATCAGGAACCCGTTTTGGAATTAGCCAAGTGTCACTGTGTTCCTTGATTACATACTCATTCATACAGGGCTAACCTTGAATGGGTGTCTAAATATCTACAAATACCAAGAAGGGCAAAATAAAGAATGCACAAGTGCAACAATACAAATACTTTGAAATTCTACGGATCTTCACTGGAACACATGAATATTCAAAAAATAATGCTATACGCAATGGAGACTAACCCTGTACAACACAGAATTCGAAACTGGAGTATTCCAAACAAGTTCTTTTTTTCCCCTCCCTCAGATGGCAATTTTACCTACCCAACCCACCTTTGTGCAGTATTCTCACCCCTTATCTTCTAATGAAGAAATAGAAAGCGTTCATGCATGCTTTGTGCAGTTATAAGGCATGAGGGTTGGCAGAACGAGAAGCACGATGCATAGTGGAGTGCTTCTTGACACTTCTTCAGACTCATTTGCACAGGCTTAGCCTCGTTTATAATTCAGCTATTCACAAATACTATTAAAAGTCCTTGGAATTTCAAAACATTGGTATTGTTCAAGCTTCACATTCTTTACACATCACAGTTGACTTTTGCAAATGATTTACTCTTAAACGAGGTGAAGCCAGTGCATATGAGTCTTTAGTCATAAAACACAGCAGTATTAGAACCGAATTAGAAAAGTGACTATAGTGTTAATACTGCTATTTTCATTTCAGTTACAGCGAAGGGCACGATGATAGGTCTTTCACGAGTCGTATCGCTAAATTTGTCTCGGCTACAGGAAAGGTAAGCAAACCTTCTTCAAAGTATTTTCATAACTTTAGGATCTCTCTAACTCGTTATTTTCTCTAGACTAGTGTTTTTATGTACTTTAAAATCCTGGTTAAAAGCCCTAGGCTTATACTCAAGGGATTTTTGATGGGCTTGTAACCCAACATTCCATCTATTGGAAAGTTCCGGAAAACTCGGTCTTCCGATTGAGGTAATCTACTTTTCCCGCTCTTTTTGGTTGTTCCTGTAAACACGTTTATCATTTGTTGGAAGTCAAATTTCCCGCTCTTTTCTTATCATTAGCAAACGAATTTCCAAGCGGATGGATTGGTTTAAATGGTTAACACCCCTAGTTTTAGTAGGGAATCGTCGTAACTGTTTTTTCCGCCTTTTTTTCAAATCTCATAATCCCAAAGGGCGTACGTTTAGTGTGAATGTCCCTGTTAAGGTCGATTGAGACGGTACGATTTTCACCTACAACTATCGTATACAACACGCTCGCGTCTGTCGTAGGCGAGTTGTAGGCTCGGTTTACACGCTACGACTCGAGTTGTAGGATGGCGCGAGCGTGTTGTATACGATAGTTGTAGGTGAAAATCGTACCGTCTAAATCGGCCTTTAGGTATCTAGACTTGCCAAATTTTTCCCAGACTTTTTAAAATATTATCAGCCAATTCGTAAGAACGTCTTGACCTTTGAAGCTAAATTATCCTATCCCAATCGAGACAACGCCCCAAACACTGTGACTTCGGACTGATAGATAACAACCAGAAGAAGAGACCTTACCCTTTGAATGGCAACAGTACTGACTAGGTGTAATTCTACCTCGTTTTCTTGCAGACTATTATCATACCAGATGCTCTGCAAGATGGCAGGGTTAGAAAAATCGTAAGTGATAAGTGAAGTGATACCAAAGCACATGACAAGACAAACCACCAAAATTAAAACAATTATTAGATTTTAAGACCGAAAACTGTTTTTGAAAATTCAGTTTTTTCCTAATCGTCAAATCACGGTTTCTCCTCACAACTGTCGCGCGCAACATGCTGAAAAGAAAAAGAAAAAGAATTTTTTTAATTTCAATATTCGACAATTTTTATAATTTGAAGAAAGGTTGATACTATTGATACTATAGAGCTTTTGAATTGCTACATATTTGATCAATGATTTAAAACCTCCACGTGAAACAATTAGAACGGATGACGAATCCTGTCATGAAGAAAAAGTAAAAAAAATCTTTGTGGGGCTGCTTTTCGTTTTTGGACCCGGAAGTCGGTTTCCCACGATTGACGTCACACTTAAAAGCTCTATAAGGAAGAATCGATAATGTCTGATAATGCTGACAATAGGCCATTTCACGGATCCCGTTTTATTTTATTTTTTTATCTTAATTAGCATTTACCTCACATTAAACCATAGTTTTAAAAAAATGAAAAATATAAAGAGTTAAGGGATACGGTAAACAGGTTTCCCCAATTTCCCCCGTTACTCAACCTCAGCCTCGTCAGCGTGTAATTATTCTTTAGAATTTGACTACAGTCCGCAGTAATGAAAGGAATTTACACATCAACGAACAATTGAAACACTTAAAAATTTCACAGGATGTAGGCAATTTCTAAAGAATATATTACACGCTGACGAGGCTGAGGTTGAGCCGCGGGATCTGTGAAATGTTCTATTGAAAATAGCTTGACTAAACGATGACAGCACACCAGGCAAATCAGTAAATATTTTTCAAATAGCGATATTTTTCAACAACCCATTCGATACTTGACTGACTTGATCCCCAAGCTTGGTAAACACCTTGCTCTTCTCTTTACTGACTGACCTCTTGTATTTGTACAGCTAACTGAATCCTCTGATGGCGATAAGAAGGATTTCTTGTCGATAATGTGCATGCCGATTAGGAATAATAAGTTTGAAATCATCGGTAAGCTATTGTAGTGTATTATAGCAGTTTTCTTATGCGGATAGTGAGAAACTCACGACACAAACACGGTCGTGTCACGGCAATGGATACGCCGGACCAATCACATTGCACGATAATTTATTGCCCATCCAATCAAATACCCGAAACACGGCATAAACACGGCGCGGACACGGTCACGCCAAGGTCACGGGACGGTCAGACCAATCACATTGCTCGAGAAAAAAATCAGCCAATTAAAATTATAGAAAGTACCACGGTCACGGCACGGCACGCTTACGACAATGAGCTTTTCACAGTCATGCGAAAACTGCTCTAAACCTGTCTAATGAAACCCCAGGCGAAGTATTTATGCCATCGGAGTGCCCAGCCCAGAGGTTGTTTCAGGGTTTGATCTGTGAGTTAGCCATGCCCTGACTTAGATCATCCCAGAGGTTGTTTCAGGGTTYGATCTATGAGTTAGCCATGCTCTGAGTTAGATCAGCCCAGAGGTCGTTTTAGGGTTCAGTCTGTGAGTTAGCCATGCTCGAACTTGGATCAGCCCATCAGCCCATCAGTAATCGATAAAATTTGAATTTGAGGGGGGTTATTACTAGAGAAAAGCAGGAGTAATAGTCCTCACGCTAAACTTGTTACTGATTTTCTTGATTTTCTTGTTTCTGCGCTTCCGACGATCTTATCTAAGTGTTTGGTTATTTCTTTTTCTGTAGCTAACGAGATATTCACATTTCTTGTCGGAGCCGAACAAATATGACATCACTAACAGCTGTTGCTTTTATCTCTTAAGGTGTTGCCGAAGTTATAAATAAACTAGATAAAAAACCATTCGATGAAAATGACGAGACATTGTTCGAGGTTAGTGCTGCTATTGATTGTCGTTGATGATGTATCTGCTCTTTATGATACTGCTGCTGTTGTTGCTGTTGATAGTGGTGGTGTTTTACCGCATATTTTCTTTATCTGTTATAACAACAGATATCATAACTATGACGTAACCATGTCAGGGTCTCAGATTCATCGTTGATCCGTTACTTTGAAACTTTACCATGTTATAGTCGTGATGCTGTAGCATGATTGACCTTGGTTGCGAAAACTTTCAGTTTTTCAGTGGAACCCTGCAACAACATCTGGGCTTATCAAAGTCAGGGGAAGAAAAACGTAACGATCATTTTGCGTGTTGGGTTTTTCGGAGGGAGGAAAACCGGAGAACCCGGAGTAAGATCCTCAAATCAAGAGAGAACAAACAAACTTTTCTCCAGGAATCGAACCCGAGACCCCAGAAGTTGGGGGCGGAATGCCCTTGATTGCTTAAAAATCCCCTATGTATAACATCAGATGTCCGCTTCTCGTCATGTTACCCAATATGGCGGCTATGACGTAACATGCAACCCAAGAATACGAAGCATGGTGCGGCACGCTCATATACCCTGTGTTTTTGTGTATACCCTTAATTGGATTTATAGCGCGAATCCCCCGGGCTATTTTTGAAGTATTCGCATGCTTTCATGCACGGGCGTTTGTCGGTTATACGTGCAGACTTATTTCTGATTGTACCAAATATAGTCTCATACGCAGTCGCTGTAAGTGTCGTTACGCAACGCTCACTCCCCTTAGTAGCTACTTAGCAGAGGGAACTTTGCGTAGCAACACTAATAGCGGCTGCATAGGGGACTATATTCTGGGCTCCAGAGATTCTGTTTCGCCAGAGCGAGAATAAATAACCTCTGGATTCCAGGGTAGAGACTATACCAAATAAAGCAGAAATTCATTTATATTGCCGCAAGGAACTCGCACATAAAAGAATGCGAAAATGACAAATTATCCTAAACTTCCTTTCTAGCTTATTAACCTATTCTCAAGAATGCGAATGTTTCAAAAAGTGTGCCATATATTTACAGCTCTAAATCTTTTTCCAGGCGTTTGCAATCTTCTGTGGTCTTGGTATTCATAATACCATGATTTACGATCAGATGGCAAGAGCCAAGGCCAAGCAGCAAGTCGCTATTGAGGTACATTATCATTAATAGGTTTAGTTTACGTTCTCAGTTTTCCTATTTGGATGTTATCACGCGTCGCCCACATCTTTGTGCGCAGGTCTACCTACGCGTACATTAGAAGATACGTAGACCAGACCATTTGACGTAGGCATATATTTTCATAGAATATTATGACGCGCACGTTTTAAAACCCATAGCCTGCGCGCTTGAGCGAAAGCGCTAGAACGACTAGACACTTAAATAAAAGTGATTTATTTATTCATTTATTTTTTAATAATTTTTTTTTTGATCGAACATTGATTTTAATGAAGGTTTTTTTCAGGTTTTATCGTATCATGTTGCAGCCAAGAAATCTGAAGTAGAACAAATAGTTGTAAGTAAAAACAAAAAGAAACAGGTGCAAGAATGTGTTTGTATGTGTTTGCTGGGGCGTAAATGTTTTCCCACTTCACTCAGACCAATAATATCCAATAATATCAAACAAAGAAATAATATCCAAGGGAATGACACATGGCATAAATTGAGAAACCATTGACTAGGTCTATAGACCTTTCCAAAAATACAGTCGGGTCCATATTTACTTGTGAAAGCCTCGGTAAAAATATATATTATTTTTTCCCGGTCCGATATCCTAAAAAATCGTGCGTTCTGATTTGCAGTTTGAGCGGGCGGTATTTTGTCAGTATCTGCCCGCGCGCGCGGTCCGGTATCCTTTGCCGCTAAACGACAACACAAACCGATTACAAAAACAAGTAAAAAAATACGGGGAAAAAATAAATAAGTTATTTACCGTCCTATAGTCGGTCCGGATAGGGAAAAACTGTGCCTTCGGTCTTGAAAACGTATATTCAAGACCTCGGGCATAGTTTATCCTTATCCGGACCGACTATAGGACGGTAAATAACATGTATTTATGACGCAAATTAAAGCTAAATTCCCTTAACGAAGTTATTATTGGTTGATCCGTTTTTTTGGTGTTTTCTCTTCACGTGACAAATCGCCAGTTAGTGTTTAGGGCGCATGCGCTAGTTGCCGCTGACCATATGATAACGAGGGCTCGCATCACACCACAGACCAAAAACGAGTCCTAGGAAACCCGAGTACAAGCTATAAGAGTGTCTAGTTAAAATAATTCTACACTCTAACCGACCATTATATAGTAACGATGCATGTATTTCTTGCCTTGCAGTCCTCACGAGTCCCAACGTCTGAAGAACTCAATTTGTATAGTTTCACATTTGACGACTTTTCGCTTACTGCGGACGAAATGTTAATGGCATCGATACGGATGTTTAAAGACAGTGGCTTCATTGAAGCTTTTCATATTGATTACGAGGTATGATTTACACAGTAACATGGACCTGGTCTGTTATAGTATACGTGGTGCATTGTGGTCTAGATTGGGTTAATCTTTTATTAAACAGCCTGCTTGAAGAAACAAATTACATCTTTAGTAACATATTTAGTTCATCATGTCTCGTATGGTGTTGGTGCTTGAAACTAGACTACCGAATGCACCATGTTTATCGAACTCAGAAATGACACATGATACTCAGGCAACGGGAACGACATATAATCCTTTTTTCAGGGCCTGGTTGTACGAAGCCTGGATAGCGCTATCCAACGGATAAATCTTATCCAGTGAATAAATTTATTGGACAACAGCATCGACTTAGCTGGATAAGCATTTATTTAGCGCTATCCAGGCTTCGTACAACCGGGCCCAGTTGTTTGACATTCGAACGAAACAAATTGGTCAGTTTTGCATTGTTTTGACCCATTTGACTCGCATGCATGACATTTATTAAAAGTAAAACAATGTCTGCATGAAGGCTCAGCCAATAACGATCACCTGGGCCTGGTGGTACGAAGCCTGTATAGCGCTATCCAACGGATAAATCTTATCCAGTGGATAAATTTATTGGATAACAGCATCGACTTACCCACTGGATAAGATTTATCCGCCGGATAGCGCTATCCAGGCTAGTTACAACCGGGCCCAGTAAGGTGCAGTTGAGGATCGGCCTGTTTTGCGTGAATTAGTATATGAACCCAATACCTGTTTTAGGGAACATATTTCAAAGATGGCGGCTATTTCGTCCCCTAAAACAGTCTCACAATGCCTTGCAATGCTAACTCGACCCAGTTTTTTCCTCATCCTCGGATTGCGCGAGAATATAAACTGTCTGAGCCTGGCGTGTACTAATACTTTGTGTGTTGATTACAGACACTTGGTCGGTGGTTGCTTACAGTCAAGAATAATTATCGTAATGTTATCTATCATAACTGGCGACATGCCTTCAACGTTGCGCAGTCAATGTTCTCTATGCTCGAGGTAAAATCACGTGACATTGTCTTGAGTATGCTTTTTTATTTATCGCTGATGCCTTAGAAAATATGTCAATATGTTTTCAGTTGATAGACCTCTTTACCGCGTGTCATTCCCTGTAGAATAAGAATCTTTGTTTGAGGTTTATCCATATTCATGTGCCTTCTCATGCACAACCGTTAAACAAAGAAATTTTACTTTTGGGAATGACACGTGGTCTGAAATGGGAAAATATTACACCCAAGGTAAAGAGGTCTATTATGTCAATTATATAGCTATTTCCTTAAGTTATATAAGTAGAGAAAGTTCGTGTATAACTTTTCTCGCGACAGTAACATAGTTTTACTCCCACCCGAGCAATTTTTATCGTTCACTCCGCGTAACGGAATTTTTATGAAAAACTGAAATGGTTTATGTGTTTTTAATATTATATTCAAAATCCCCCCCAAAAAAATTGTGTCTGATGTCTTACAGACGTTTAGCGTGAACACGTGTCGTCAGCCATGTTAGGTGGCACCAACAATACAATCGTTTCACATGAGAAAGAATCTATTACACTCATTTCGAGTTCCCCTTTGCTCAGTCTTAGCCTTGATTGTGTACAAACGGGTTCTTTTCTTTTATTAAGGTCCATTGTATAGTAAGGAACGTAAGCACTACGGAGCAATACGAGTTGATTAAATGCCACGGGTTTTCGTTGAATAGCTGAATATTATAACACACAACCAAGACTAAGGCTTAGCAAAGAGAACTCGAAACTGGAGTATTCCTGAGAGTAAAGGATTCTATTGTTCTGTTGTCTAAGATGGCTGCCATTACGTGATGGTGCAAAATCTATTAACATTTGGTGCTGGTCAATTTTGTTCTGTAGACTGGAATAATGAAGACCTATCTGACTAAATTAGAGTGTTTAGGACTCATTGTGGGTTGCCTGTGCCACGATCTGGACCACAGGGGGACCAACAATGCTTTTCAAGCCAAGTAAGTGGTGGAAAAGGAGACTGACCAACTGACTGACTGAATAATCGACTGAATGACTGACTAACTAACGTCAGCTGGATGATGAACTTATTCATTGATTGTTTGATTGATTCGTTGTGCACAGGACGGACACTCCTTTGTCCAAGCTCTACGGAACTTCCACGATGGAGCATCACCATTTTAACCACGCAGTTATTATCCTTAGTACAGAGGTAAGGTTTTTCTTGATAGTCCTTTCACCTCATCCTAATTGCAGGTGCAACCTACTAATGCACGTGATAGGAGAATTAATGCACGTGATTGGGAAATAAATGCACTGGATAAGGAAATTAATGCACGTGATAAGAGAATAAATGCACGTGATTGGGAAATGATTGAACATGAAGGAAACTAATGCACGTGATAAGAGAATAAATGCACGTGATTGGGAAATAAATGAACATGAAGGAAATTAATGCACGTGATAGGGGAAGAAATCCTGCACATAACACTCGCTCTGTTTCTCGATTGCTTATTGGTTTTCCTGCTTTTGTTCAGGGCCACAACATCTTCCAAGGACTGTCTGCAGATGAATATCGACAAGTGATCAGTTATATTAAGCACTCTATTCTGTCTACAGATTTAGCCACTAATTTTAAGTAAGTCATGTATTCTCACCCACCTATTCCATGATCTACCCTACTGGGTGTTTCAAGGCCCTTTCAGCAAATCTAACTATGTCAGTCCAAGACAAATACTCATTCGTAACCCTTACCTTTCATATCGTTACCGTCACAGACAACGCCCGAAGTTTTTCCCGTTGGTCGAGAAAGGAGAATTTGATCCTCATAATATGGATCACATAGATATGTTAAAGTAAGTATCTTTCTTGTACTATTTCAAACACGGGAGAGAGTTCTTCCTCCGATTTCCAAACACCGAAAAGTGAGTTGAAAAAACGAGGCGCAGCCAAGTTTTTTTAACTGACTTTGAGGTGTTTGGAAATCGGAGGAAGAACTCTCTCAAGTGTTTGATATTACTGCTCAAACTAATGAATATTTCTTGGAGAAAATCAAAGAAAAAGTTTACGAAATGTAATGCAAATTAAGAACACATTTCCAAACCACCGTCACAGTAGTGATTTGCTTTGTTTTCTCCTCATTAAATAATCATGAGTATGAGAAATGCTAATTCCTTTCTATTTCACACGGGAGCCATATTGACTGGAGTAATGTATTTTCCCCGGCGTAGCCTCTATTCAAGTGCTTCAGGTAAAGGTTATGCGTGGTTAAACGATAAGCAAATAAAATAACTGTTATGAATCTCGCGTTCTTATTGGTTAGGTGCAATCCATAATAACGGTTATTGTAATTCGTATTTTATAAGACACGCGTCGTACTTCTCCTAACACTTCTCTCGTGTTCTGCCAACCCCCGCGTGCTTTATAACTGCACACAGCACGCACGCGCGTTTTCTATTTTTTCATTATTGGACGAGTTTGAATAAAATATAGTGATTTGTTAGTGGTGAGATACTAAAAAATCACGATTTTTTCCGTTTTCTTTTTACGTTTTAGCCTTTTTTTGCTGTCTATAAAACATACCAATTCACAGGAAAGCGAGCTATGTTAACAAATGCATCGTTACTGCGCATGAGCAGATTATTATTTGCAGGAAACTGGCTTTGCACCGTAATGCGCATGAGCAGAATATTATTTTCAGTTGTTTCGGTCAATCAAAGCAACGGAAAAAATAATTTGAATGATAAACGTTTTTGTTTCCCTCGTTATCAAGGTCCAAATTGTCTCCTTTCTTCTTCACAGGGCAATGATGATGACTGCTTGTGACTTAAATGGGACAACAAAGCCGTGGGAAATCCAGAAGGGGGTGAGTGATTCCTGCATGGAATTATGGGTCAAAACCCAAATCCTGCTCGGAAAAACAATTGCTGATTCTAAAGGGACTGGAGAAATTCCTTGTGCAGTTTGTAAAAAATAGTGTCTGACTAAATTTAGGTAATTCACCATTTTCCATACATCGGTTCACTGGTCAAACACAAAGCGCTCAAGCGAGGCGCCAAGGTACTTTCTAAGGATTATTCAAACTTGAACCTTGCAACCTCGACTGAATGTTTTGTGTTTGACCAGTGAACCGATGTATGGAAAATGGTGAATGATGATTGGTTAAGACACATCTGGCGTGCTGCAAGGGGCTATATCTAAGATGTGGGGTTCCTGTCTAGAGCTAAATTGGAAACTATTGCTTTTATCTCACGTTATTGCCCGGCCACAGGATGACCGCTTTGTTTCTCTCTTGTCTCTTGTTGTAGGTTGTAAATCTTGTAACGAGAGAGTTTTTCGAACAAGGAGATTTGGAACGAGAAAGACTTAACGTGGAGCCATCGGTTAGTAGACTACTTACTTCCTTACGCAAAAACCAATACGCTAAATAGAAGTTTTGCTCCATCACGTGACGGCAGCCATGTTGGATTTACATGAGAAAGAATCCAATTCCCGAGGGCAAAGAGATTCCATTATTCTGCCATCCAACGTGGCTGCCGGCACGTGATGGTGGAAAAACTCTAGCATCAATAGCTATGTAAATATGTGGAAAAAATAAACCTTGAACCTTGAACCTTGAACCTCTGCCCCATTTCGATCTCTGAGTTCATTCAGCTGTTTGATATCACGCTGACAGGGCAGGAAAACGACAGGCCCGCTACTTTCACGATTTTTTCATTTAGCTGAGTTTAATAGTCCAAATTTTTAAGCGTTTCATTTGTGTCACTGCTGCACGAAACTCGTGACGAATTATTAGAGTAAATCTACTTAGTATTCACGAAAATGTCGGTTTTTCTGCTGATCAAAATATCACCTCTCCCAAAGTACACGGCTTTATATCTCAAATACGCATTCAATAAATTTTGGTCGCATTTGATATTCAAACTGATAATCATTTGCTTTATGGTTGGCAGGCAATAATGGATCGACAAAAAATTGACGAGCTACCAAAGATGCAAGTAGGATTTTTTGAAACGACAGGGATTCCAGTTTTTCAGGTATGTTATCAACTTTAACTAAACGTTTATGGTATAGAGTGCTAGGGGTACGCATATAGGCTCAATGTGCCAGTCTTGCACCGGGCTTTACTTTGCTACCTATAGACTCCTTGCAGCACGTCGGAATGCAGCTCAATTTGGAGGATATAACAATAGGTTTCCAGTTCTCAGGAGATTGAAATTCTTTTGTTTTGACCTCTAAATTGAGCTGCTTTGACGTCACATGCAAGGGGTCCATTCTCTACTTTCACATCCTCATAATACTTTGCGTCTTTGGGGGGGGGGGAGGTAACCAGAGGGTTAAAAACCCACTCATTTTGCTGAAGGCTGATCAGACAATGTTGAAAATACCTTGTTTGGTATCCAAAAATAAAATGATCTGTACACGCAAAAAAATTTGGAATAAACTGATAATTAGTATTGTCACATACAAGGGGTCTATACCAGCACAGAAATGCGTGTCGTTTCTTAGTTTCTATCTTTCCGGCGTTAAATTAGTAAGACTTGGCAATATATCCAAGCAGGTTTTCGTGGTCGCCAACACAAGGCTGTCACGAAGTAAAAATAAGTTTAAGCTTGCTTTTCTTTTTCCATATCAATTAAATATTTAGTTTGTAGCATGCCAACGCCATAATGTAGAGCACTTCAGTATACGTTCCCACATTAATGATATTGCGTCTTTACTCTTCCAGGTTCTATCAAAGATCAGTAGCAAGCTCCAACCACTGGTAGACGGCGCAAAGGCAAATAAACACCGCTGGGAACAAATCGACATGTCGCGAGAAAAATATTCATGACACCGGTCCATGGGCTACTTTGATAGCTACTGTAGCAATATTACACAATATTAATATATTGCCTTCACATAGACTATGATAAAAAGAATAGTATCACAAGAAAAATGCTCATGATTCTGGCTCCAGTACGACTTTGATAGTTCAGCAATAGCTATGGAAGCGTCCACTACATTAACAGCGTCAGCACATCATTAGACTATAATAATGATAAGCGCCGACGAATTTAACGTACGGATAGCAAAGGCACTGGGAATGATACAGCCTACATTTTCAGCCAATCAGAATATTGGTTATGTCAGCTGACGTTCAGCCAATCAGAATATAAGTGATGTCAGCTGAATGTCAGCCAATCAAATTTGTTTCAGCGCAGCGAATCGGGTTTTTGATGAAGCCTATTTCAAAAGACAGCCAATCAGATCTTTAGGATATCACAGTTTAACCAATAGCAAGATGGTAAAGTCTTGTGTTGATAACGGAAGCTCAGCCAATCAGAATCTGGCGAAGGTTCCCTCAACCAATCAGTGGATTTTGGAGAAAGGAGTTGTGCCAATCAGATGTTTGCTGCAATTTGAAATGTCTTCACTGGCTTAAGAACCTTTTCTACGACGTAAACTTAACAATACGCTGACCATGGAACATTATGGCTATAGATTTTCCCTAGAATCATAGATCAATTTTCTGTGATGCTTCTTGAAGGGCGCTTGCTTTACTGCAATACAACCCTTCATGTCTTTAGTGCTGCGTTTGTCTCGCCTCTCTTCAACTACCTGATTCAAGGTGCTTAGAATAACCATGCCTGTCTTGTTTTCTAGTACAGTTCTCGGCTTCTTTATTCCAATACCGAATGTCGTTTATTTTAACTTACTGCAATTCGTGTGGCATCAAAATTCATCCTTGTCAAAATTATGTGGATCGCCGGTCTGATTTGTTGGATTTTTTTACGGTTACGCTACGATTTCTCGTAATTTGTCTTGCGAAATAAATTGTTGCAGGCTGTATGAGACTATGTTAATAGCAGAAATTCTGTTACAACTTGTCTTGCATAGAATCTCACAGGTTTTCACAATGCAAGTTACACGAGAAATCGTCGCCTTTAACAGCGTCTTCTGACAATTCCCACTCTAAACAGTTATGAATTATGGAGCTTTAACACTTCAGCAAGTAACCCAAAATATAGAGATTTTCTAAAGCGTTAACCTTCAGATAATTGAAGTAGAATTTTAAGGCTTCTCTCAAAGTTTCTAACTCGTAGCTCTCCATGACTCTCAAATGGTTTGCGCGCGTTCAAGGATTTTGATTGGTTGGTTTTCGTTTGAGTGCGCTGTGATTGGTTCATTCGTTCCGCTCGGAAACCATTTGCAAGTCGCGTTTCAAATGTATGGATAAAGCTTTCGGAAGTATTTTTGCGACTGTCGTTGAGCAAAACATGATTTCCAGTGAATGACAAATCGGATGTGCAATATAATGGATATCTGAGTTTTACCAGGCGCTTTAAGCATTCTACTGCTCTCCCTGCTAAATTTTCAATGACAAAGAAAAAGTTTTATCAGAGAAATACAATACAAAAAGTTTTACCGATCAGATATAAAGCCAAATTCCGAACCCTTTTTATCAATGTATAAGTACATATATATATAATATATACATTGGGGTTTTTATTGAATATTATTTTACAAGTTTAGCGCATAGTTCCATTTAGTAAGATATATATTGTCTTAGGTTCGTTCGAATTCAGTAACTTATTTTAGAAAGAGTGAATGTTGTGTCTTCGTGTTGTTCTCATAATATTATTTAGTTGTGTATTTTCTTGTAAGTACGTCGTGGGTGAGTAAGTAATATAGTAAACAAACTTTGCTGCAACACTTCGTTTCTTGGTATCTTCAAGGGTGGTGAAGCGGAAGTGCAACCAACTCTAGCTCTTACTTCGGTTCGATTCCTGGACTCGGCATACCATGAGAGTCAGTAGAGTTTGATAGGTCTCTCGCTTGATTTGAGGGTTTTTCACCTTAGAAAGACAACGCTCTAAATTCCAATGCCATCTTGCCTGACTTCTATGTTTTGGTTTGAACGCAGACATTTCAGTATTATTTCTTATCCCTCCCCCGCCTCCGAAATTGTGACCCCGGAGAAATAGGGGATAGGAAATGCCAGCCAAGCTACTTTTTACTAAGTATAACTTAGGGGGGGGGGATTGTTGAAATTTTATTAGCAGCTATCCTATCCCTCCCCAACTATTCACAACGGTATGAGAAGTCACACTGAACTAGGATAATGGCTTTCATCAAGAAAGCATCAATAAGAGAGGGAAATTTCTTATTGTGGCGCGCGCCATGTAATTAATTATTGTTTTGATCGTTTTGATCACTAATGTCAAAACGGAAAGAGAGCCGCGCGTGCAAATAGATGACGCACAGGAGTAGGGTAAGACGAAATTTAAACTGCATCTGGTTACTAAAAATAGTCCAACCGAGAATTTACATGGCGCGCGCTACGATAAGATCGAAGTCTCCCTTTCTTATTTATGCTCTATTGTTTTGATTCAAAACTGCAAAGGTCGAACGTTGATCCGGTGCACTTTTAGTATACCTTAATTATTAGTACTGCCTTGCGCATGCTGTACTGTCTCCCATGACCTGCGGTTGCTAAGTTGGTATACTTTATTCCCACCCTCCCCTCCCTTGCGTTGTTATGGTTCTTTGTAGAGCTCTGTCAGGTTTCCGGCCTCCAGTTTTTCAAGCAAGAGTAGAGTGGGATAGCGGCCAATGTAACACTAAAATTTCCCCCGAGTATAAAATTAATCTCAGTGGTCCAAGAGACTAAGGATTGAGGTCAAACGTGAATAAAAAGGAAATCATTTTCAGAGAAAAGAAATTTGAATGAATTTAGTTGTTCATCTAACGTGTGGGCTTCCTGTGGATCAAAATAAATTTGCATGATTTACACCATACAAATGTGCACAAAGCCATCTTATGCAAATGTTTTTCATTTCAAACTGCGTAAAAACCTTCCTTCCTTGATTGATTTTAAAGAACATTCTGTAAAAAAAAGAGACCTTTTCTAAAGGCCAACGATGGCAACAGCTTTCGAACAAGAAACGAAAATTTCAGCTCCTAAAGATAGCTATAAAGAATCTTTATTGGTTTCGCTTGAAAGCCTTCGCCGAGACAGTCTTCTTTGCGATGTCGTACTAAACGTAAATCACCAAGAATTTCAGGCTCACAGATGCATTTTAACAGCAAGCAGCCCATATTTTCGAGGAGTATTCACAAGTGATATGATAGAAAAAGAAGCAAAGGAGTTAGATCTAGATTTCCTCGACGCAGACGCCATGGAACCTCTATTGAAGTACATGTACACTGGAGAAGTTGAGATCAATGAAGCCAATGCTCGTAGCCTCGTATCAGCTGCTGATTTTTTGTTGATACAGAGTTTAAAGACGATTGGCTGTGAATTTCTAGAGTCGATAATTTGCCCTGGAAATTGTTTTGAGCTCCGAGACTTTGCCGAGAAATACAACTGCGATCAACTCAAGGCGACTGCTACCACTTTTATCATCAATAACTTTGCAGCAGCAAGCGAGTCAGAGGGCTTTAAATTTGTCGAATATAAAATTCTATCTGATCTGATATCCCGGGATGAGTTGGTCGTGAGTGGAGAAGAGCAGGTTTATGAAGCCATAATGTCGTGGGTCAGGAACGATTTAGATACAAGAAAGGAATGTTTTGAAAAACTATTCTCTGAGCTTCGCCTCGTATCTATTTCAAAACACTACTTAACGGAAACAGTCGAAAAGGAAGAGTTGGTCAGTGAAAGTTTTGAGTGTACGAAACTTCTGTTCAAAGCGATGAAATCTTTTGCAGTGTATGAGTTTGAAGGGCTTAAAAAGCCAAGAAAAGTGCTGGAAAAACACGTGAATGCAATAGTGCTGTGTGGCGGAAACAGAAGCCGTGATGTCGTTTGTTTTTTACCCGACGAAAATAAATGGTCAGTGTTGACCGAGTCGAGTATTGCACGAGACGAGCATGCGGTGACAGTCAGTGATAATGTTCTCTTTGCTTTTGGCACAAACCAGACCGAAAATAGCCAAATAGTCGAACAATTTAACGTCTGCTCAAACACTTGGTCATTGATAACAAATCTCCCTCAATCTCGATGTGCCCTGACAGCGGTCACCTTAAATGAGCAGATCTTTATTCTTGGAGGGCGAACGCAGCATATAGGCGCAACGAATAACATGATGCGCTATGATCCCAGCATTAATAAATGGTTCTACGAAACTCCTATGAACTGTAGTCGAGCAGGACTCTGTGCAGTGAGTCTTAATGGCTTTATATACGCATTGAGTGGAATCAATGTCAAAGGAGAATTCCTAAATACCGTTGAAAAGTATGATCTAAGGACCAAGGTTTGGACCGAGATACCACCTATGCTTACAGCTCGATACTACGCTTCGGCTGCTGCATTAAACATGAAGATTTACATTGTCGGTGGGCAGGTTAAGAATGGCAGCTGTCTGTCAAGTGGTGAAGTGCTCGACGTAAAGACAGATCAATGGACAGCTCTTCCTGGCCTGTCTGTACCTCGACAGGCAGCGGGCATTAGTCGTTGGGGTAACAAGTTGTACCTGTTTGGCGGATGCAATAACTCAGGACGTCTAGACTCAGTTGAGTGTTTCGATTTGGAAAGCAATTCCTGGCAGTTTGTTGCTAAGATGCCTGTAGCTCGATCTTGGGTTCAGTGTGGTGTGTTGCGTCTTCCTAAACAGCTTATTGTCTGAGTCAAAGCTGTCATGTAAAACCAGGCTCTCTGGCCGCGAGGGAAATCAAATCAGGCGAAGCAGATCCCAAAATCCTTATAGTCGGGAATGATAAATGAATAATGAAGACTGTAGTACCAAGCGCTTGGTATAGGGACTTGCAGGACTCTTGCAGCTAGCTTAGATTTCACTATGATGAACTAATAGGGGAGTTTTCTTTTATTGCATCAGGTTCGGCTCATGTGAATTGGACGTCGGTTGACCTTAGGAGGAAGACGATTCGTGTAGACTTTCTATTCGCAATGCACCGTGCTTGCGCTTAATTATTTGCTCAGTGAGCTTTAGGAGTTAGCACCTTTGTCTATGAATGAAAAGTAGAAGCATAGGAACTGCAACTTGGACTGAATGGTGTGGTGAACTAACAGATTGTCTGTTTTCTGGAAAATTGGCGACTGGAGTTAAATCGCGTATGCAAGCAGTATAAGCCTTGGATGTATGTATTTTTTTAAATGAGGGAAATTTGTAAGAATACTATAAGCTATTGTAAAGTGGAAAAAAATAATTGGAAATAGCGAGATAAAGTGCAATAGAAACGAATGGGTGGATAATAACCACAATAAATCCGAATAGAAGGAAATGGAGAAAAGACTTTAGGGACCGTTCATTTTTTTACTGGGAAGAAAGGACGGTGAGATTTTAAGAATAGTCACTAAACAACCAGGCTCAAGAGGGCAAAAGGGTGGGGG